AGAGACAGAGAGAGACAGAGAGAGAGAGAGAGAGAGAGAGAGAGAGAGAGAGAGAGACAGAGACAGACAGACAGACAGACAGACAGACAGAGAAGCTTATAGCCCACATGCAAATCCTCGGGTTTGGGAAGGAGTTGTGGATCTGCCCTGTACCCAGTGAGTGCTGTTTACATGAGAAAGCTGTTTGCCTTGAGAAAAGGGCGTCCCAAACAACGAAGGAATGGAGAATGAGAAAAAACTTGGTCTCAAGGAGGTTCGCGTGCAATTGATTTGGAGTGTTGCTATCGAGGAGATGTGCATCGCTGTCGAGGAGGCTCAATAATTCTGGGTGAGGCCTCGTGATCACAACGAATATCCCCATCGGGGGCTTCTGACAGAGCCGCCTCCCAGTGATGTCATCCCTTGAGTGTTGTTTTCCCCTTTCGAATGAAGGGGAGATAACCATTGGTTGCCGTCGAACTTCTTTGTGTCAAAAAGCTTTGTATGTTGGGTATGTCTGCCAACGTTTGCACCATTGCTGTACTGCACCACCTACCCAACACAGGCTCCTGCATCACCCAACATGTGCTGCTGCATCGCAGTGGTGTGGCAGTAAGAGCTGTGGACACATAAAAGGCCTTTCAAATTGGTAAGAACTTGAAGTAAGTTCAAGGTAAGGGGGGAAAAAGAAAAAAATTACCAAGAAGGGAAAAGGTCGAAGCATTCCGTAAGGAGCAATGATGTTACGGAAGGAAGTTCCAAGAAACGGAAAGATGATGGGCTTGGTGAAACCTTCAGGGCAGTTTCTTTTGTTATTTACTTGATTTGTGCATGTTATCCTTGTGCAAGGACCGTGCTAAACTTGTACGAAGGCTTTTTTTTCTGAGTTTACGTCTTAGGCGAATATCACTTGGAAGTTGGAATAATATACTTGCGGGAAGTTGGGGGGTCTGCATCGCTCACTTATCACATTTTGAAGTCCTTGGTTTGTGTTGGGATTGTGGGCCGCAGACTGTTCCTGTGTCAGCATGCAGTGGACTGTAATGTGGACGATGAGCTATGCCGTACATGGATCAAAACTTCTCGCTTACGGGGAGCGATGGTCATGAACGAAGAACCTCTTGCACATCTTACCTTCCTCTAACCCCCTCTCCTTCCTCTCTTCCTGTATTACTCAACTCTTTGTCCATGATGCGGGGTTCAAAAGCCGACCCTTCTCTGGCGTGAAAGAATCTTTGCTGTTAAGTTGGTGCTGTACTTCACTGTGTAGGACCTTCTTCGATGATTCTTCATGTACTGCGAAAGAGGGTAAACCTGGGCATAGCTGGCATAGAAGGTTTGGTCTTTTATTTCAGAAGTTCACAAAAGTTCAATATGAATTGTGTGTGTGATTGTGCCAGATGGAAATGCACAAATCTTCACTGACCGTCTTTTTTCATGACTTGCATTGAAGTGGCTTTTTCGGGGAAGGACTGCGGTTTTATTTTTCTAAGGGGAAGCTATGAGAAGATGAGGGGCACAGGAGGAGGGCAGAAGGTGAATGGCAGGGCATGTGGGTACGGATTCAACCACCAGTACCCAGATCCGTCTACCGTACCTTGCCGCCATATAGATGGATGCGATCTCTCTTCTCTCTCTCTCTCTCTCTCTCTCTCTCTCTCTCTCTCTCTCTCTCTCTCTCTCTCTCTCTCTCTCTCTCT